AAAACCCTCAAAATTATAAAATTTACTAAAATCCTGATAATTTCTAACCTAACAGTGCATTAAAAATATAGGGATTACAAATATCCCATACATAATTTATAATTTATAAAAAACACCCTTAAAGTTTCAAAAATTACAAACAAACCCTTAAAATTTAAATTTTATAAAAAAACCCCTAAGAATTTTTAACTCATTAGTAAATTAAAAGCATAGGGATTATAAATAGTCTATAAATAATTTTAATCTGTAGAAAAGGCCCATAAGTTTAAAAAATTACAAAAAACCCCTAAATTTTATAATTTATGAAAAAAATACCATGATAACTTCTAACCTATAGACATTAAAATGAATATGCAAAATTACTAACAACCCCTAAAAAATTAAAATTTTGCAAAAAATATCATACACCCTTTAAAAGTATAGGTTTAGGAAAAACTTTTCATGATCAATATTATCCATAATATTTTTGAAAAGAACATAACTAATTAAAAATCTATTAAATTTAAAATTTAGTACATTGCAAATTACCCCTCCAAAGTTTAAAATTTTTTAATAATTTTTTTGTAATTCCTTAATTTTAATGTAATGTTTAATAGTTTTGTGTATTTGTAAATTACAAGATTTTAAGGTGTTTTTCTATAATTTTTAAAACTTTTGAGGTGTTTATTTTGTAGTTTTCTAAATTTTCATTGTGTTTTTAGTGTAATTCATAAATACTTCAATTAATAATGATATTGAAGAGTAAGTTATTCTTAAGATTATTAAGCCATAGTTAAGTGTGCACATCACTATTCTTAGCCAGTATAATTTATATATACAAAAATTTTCAAATAATCTATGTAGTGGTTAAAAAGATTTTGACTTTAATGTACTATTTTTATAAATTATATTTAATGTGAACTTATCTGAGTTTGACTGTGGTCATCATAATTTTAATATGTTTGATTGATTGACTATATATGTATATAGATCATAAATTACTTTACTTTCCCACATGAGCTAATATTTAGCGCTTAATAATTTAAATTATTACTTTTAAATTTAATATAAAGAGGAGCTCTAATAACATTTATTTATTTACCTACGGGATAATCCAATCTCAATTCCTATTTTTTGCTTGAGATTTATTCTATAGTTACGAGTATCAAATTAGTAACTAAAATAATAATTATTTATGCTTAAATTAGGATGATTGTAGTTGGTCACTCACTATAAAATTTTCATGAAGATATACACCTTAATTTCTATAGCTATTTGAATTGCCCATGTATATTTTATAAATTAGTTGTTAGTTTGACATATTAAATTACTTTTCCTTTAAAGAAATTTCTTCTTTGACTTTTGAACTGTGTAATTACTATATCATCATTCTAGCATAAAAAGAACCTCACTCTAAATGGTTTCAAGCTAATGTTTGAGTTAAACTGAAGTATATACTGTTGCTACTATGTGTATATATTTTTTAAGAAAATAAGGTTAATATTTTTAAAATAAAAAAATATTCTAATATTTAATATTATAAAAACTAAATATAGCTAATTGAGTGATTATCAAAAGATAACTTATATCAAAAAAACGTGAATAATAAGATAAAGAGGAAATGTAATGACATTGCCAACAATACTACAAATAGCAAACTATAATATAAAGTTAACCTATTTTATGGAGACCACTTACTAGCTATAAGCATTGAGGTTTCCATATATATACTTTATAATTTATTAAAAATGGTCATATAATCTTATATAAAGGTTTCCATATATATACTTTATAATTTATTAAAAATGGTCATATAATCTTATATAATAAAATTGATTCAGTACTGAATAATAATATCGTTATAATTTATTAAAAATGGTCATATAATCTTATATAATAAAATTGATTCAGTACTGAATAATAATATCGTTAGCAGGGAAAATTCTTCATGAACCAATATGTTCTTTACGATATATAAGCTATGCACTCCAAATTCTTGGGTCTTTATAGAGTCAAAAAGTTTAAATACGAGCATCTAACATGTTGTTCTCACAACAGCAAAATCCATTTAGCAGCTGTGGATATTTTAGATGAATTATATGTCTTATATACAATATAATTGCCCTAGGCAAATGAGTTATAATAGCATTTTTGATTCACATCGTTTGGGGTAAGATTTGATAAGGACCTTGCATTAAAAAAAGAAATTTTTATATTTAGAGCTCATGGCGAAATATATCATAATCTCCATGCTCTAATTTTACAAGAAAATAATTCTTCATACTTTTAGTTTTACTTCTATGGTATAGAGAATGAACTATAAAATTAAATGAGAATATTTTATAATATAAATATGAGTGAAATCACAACTAAAACTTAAACGTGAATATGAGTCAAACCACAACTAAAAGTTTAACGGACACATTGCAAGTAAATTCATATACAAAATTTCTTTGTGAATTGAATGATCACTCATCTTTTGAAGACTTCAAGATACTAATAAATAGAGATGTTATACTAGATTATTGTGTAATAGTAGATCACGTGGCCACAGTCTGGGTTGAAGGAAACAATGACAATATTTTATTTGAGATAGAAATTATTGAGTTGATGATCAATCCCACAAAAAACTTTATTTTCTTTTTTATTTTTACTCTATTATTATCAATTTAAATAATCATGATATTCAACCACGTGCATTGCACGTGCATCTCAACTAGTAGTTATAAAAGATAAAGATTATCTACAATTTACATTTTTTCTGATCCATAAACAAGACAGTCTTGATCTATACGATTATATTATTCTATAATTTATATAGTGTAAATTCATAGATTATTGTATTATTGTTCTTTAAAAAGAAAATTGAGAACTCTTGATATCAATAATAAAATTAGCATTTAATAGTGAGGTGGTCATTTCTCATCCACACATTCAATTATGGATTCCAATCTTCTCCACTATCAAAAAAATTAGTGGAAAGACCACTATTTAATCACAACAATGGATTATCTAGTATGTAATTATGATTTCTTTCTTTGAGTCAAATTAGGAATTAGTGTAATAGACGAAGATATAGTGACTATTAGATTTAGAATGTACCACAATCATACATTATATAATTAATAATTGGAATTAAAAGTAATGATCTCTCCAATTCTTTTTTACTGTAAAAAAGATCTAAATTGTTGAAACGCATCCACTTAAAAATAATAATCCTCTCTTAGTTACTCACTCATTAGATGAGTAAATTAGGACTAGCGTTGGTCCTTATACCAAGAATATTCATACTTAAAATCCAATAGCGGGATTGAAATTTTCTGAGTAACAGTTATCAGATCGAACTGGAGGATTGATTTGATTTAGTAAGATAATATAAAATTGGAAATTACCTGTGAAACGGAAGGAGAATTAGAGCGCATTTGCTGTCGAAAGCCAACTGACAAATATCAGTATGCATAGTAGCAAAGGGCGAGACCGCGACGAACGGCTGAACAGCAAGCGAGCCAATATTCGCATACTCAAGCGACCGAAACGCATTCACGATGTGATCAGTGACCGTATGTCTCTGAGATCTAGCGGCTGAGCTGTGCTTCTTTGGCTTGTACGGAGCAAGAACCGAGTTGATTTGGCCGACAAGAGGAGTGAGATGAAGGAGGTAGACACAGACGGGGTTGGGCAGCGAGGTCTCAAGCAGGGAGAGGAGAGGGGTGGCGTTGTTCTCGTCGTGGGCGCAGGCGAGGACTCGGAGCTCCTGGGAGGGGATGGTTTGGTCGACGGAGCGGCGCTTGTGGGGGTTGATGAAGTGCTTGGCGGGGTTGTAGGTGAGTTTTAGGATGGGGGATGTCAGGCTGCCGATGACGATTACAGCGAGGACGTGGATTGTGTATGTTTGGCTGTCTGCCAGCTGCACTTCAGGGCAAGAATGTATTGTTAGTGTGGATGATTTTGCTTAGCTAGTTTGTGTAAGTCTATTTTCTTTAAGGCTTACGATGAGTATTAGATATGGAATGAATTATAATCATATATTACATAAATCAACAATCATAATTAATATAGTGGGATGTCCACTATTTTTTTTATGGCAGAGATGATTTAAATCCTTTTGCATAATAGGTGGTCTCAAATTTAAAAATATAATCATTTTCGCAATTTGCCAAAAAAATAATTGTAGTTGGGAAAAAGGGTCCTAAGGTGCCACCTTAGGTTCAATCTAAGATGACATCTTCAAAACTAAGTATATGCAATCTTAATTTGCTCTATTTATTTCGATCTATATGTTTTGAATAGTATACAAACAAAAATTTGACATATGGGACTATAATTATTCTTGCATCTGAGTGATTGTAAAACTAATGATTTTACGATAACACAACTTAAGAGATAATAAAAAATATCATATGTCAGTAGTATTAAAAAATCATGATTTTTATTTTGTAGATGTTGTGAAATATTTAGATCATGAAAAATTGGCGGATCATCTATCAGAATAGTCTAATCTATATGCATTAAGAAGTGTCCACTTTTTTTTTTTTTTTGATAAGGAAAAAGTGTCATCTTATATTGAATTTAAGGTGGCCTCTTACGTACCCTTTTTTGAAATAAGTTATACTTTGTTTAAAGACCCATTTTCAGTGCCGCATTTGGGAATTTATTACTCTTTAGTTTGATTATGGCAGATAAACTCTCTGAATGAGATTTTCCTGACTCTTTTGTCCTTAGACGGACTCGCCTGAGGGGTCTATCTGCAAAACTTAAACCACAAGGGTAATAAGTTGCAAAGCACAATATCGCAGAGGGTTTTCTATAAGCAATTAACCAGTTCTGTAATTACAATTGTGTAAGAATATCAATTTTCGCTTGGAAAAAATAATATATATTTACTCACCTTAGTCTCTTGCCAAGTCCTAAACGAATACAACTCCGTAATCCCCCTGAAATTCAACATAAAGCCCCCAGCAGCCCCGCATCCCTCACCACAATCCCAAAGTAGACCACCGTCCCACCGCCGCCGCAATCTTCACGCGCGCCCCACCACGACATCATCACCGTAAACCAAGCCACCCTCGCGTCCCCCACCGACCACACATCCGCATTCAGCCCCACCACCGCCACGTACACCGGCACAAACACCCCCTCCATCAGCCTCTCCATCCTATCCGCCAGCGTCGTCCCCAGAGGCGGCCCGCCCGGCAGCAGCAGCCGAGGATCATCGCCCCCGTCGCAATGTGCTGCCCTATGATCTCCCCCACCAGACTGCAGAACATCGCGGTCACCACCACCGCTAGTAAATAGCCTTCATTCATCGGCATCCCGTCTGGGGTTCGGCGCACCATCCAGATGATGGTCGGCCTGGCGACGAATAAAATGAAAAGTACCAGGACTGCCAGTGACAGGAGCGAAAGCAAGGTGAGCTTGACGGAGACGTGGCTGTCGGTGTTGAAGAGGGAGGAGAGGATGGCTTTCAAGACGATGCCCTGGAGGTCGGAGAGGAGAGAGACGTTCATGGCGATACGGCCGATCTTGGAGGCGAGGAGGTTGAGGTCAGAGAGGAGGCAGAAGAGGACGATGTTGGAGGAAGGTGGCCCAGCGGATGGGGAAGTTGTAGTGGAAGAAGAAGAGTGGGGGGGGAGAGGGCGAGGGAGGGGGAGATGCAGCGGGAGGAGGAGGGAGGAGGCCTCCGAGATGGCGAGGGCTTTGCGGCGGGATTTGCGAGGGAAGGAGAGGTCGGTCTTGACGGCGACGACGAAGATGTAGAGGATGAAGGAGAGGAGGGTGATGGAGTTTAGGTGGACGTAGCTCCGGCTGGGGAACATCTGGGAGAGAGGGCCGTTGGGGCGGGAAAGGCAGGAGGGACCGACGATAATGCCTGCCTGGAAAAATAATAGTAGTAGTAGTTAGTATAATTTACAAACTCCATCAATATTTTACTAGAAAACCGGTTAAAGATTGTTTATATATTAAAGGTGATTTTGGTATTGTCGCCATATTTTAAACGAAAAATCCCGAATAATAATAATAACAATAACAAGTAATTAGTGTTTTGGTGCAAACAATGAACGCATGACATAGGATCACCAGAGTAATGTTTAATAAAAATTAGTCATGTTTTTCTTGTTTATATTTTTCTTTAATAAATGAAACTTAGATGCCAATAAATCAATGTGAATTGATCTTAATCACAATTTCCTGACAAATAAGTTCAAACATTTTCATTGGAAGAGATTTGATATGCATGAAACTCAGTTGTATTAAATGCCTAGTTCAAATTCAAACTTATTAAAAGCGCAGGCCATATATAGTAAAAACAGGCAATCATGTAAATATTGAAATACAGAGATTGAATCAAAAAATTAGGCTTACAATGACTTGGGAGACAACTGAAGGCAGGCAAAGAGAGCGGAGGAGGAAGTGAGATAAGCGAGTGGCAACAAAGAGCAAGGAAATTTGGATCAAGAGAAGGGGGAGGGAGAAGTCAGTGGGCCCTTTGCCACCCCACCATCCGCTAGAGGAGACTGCTGTAGCTCTGAAGCACAAAATTGAGCCGCCCGCTGTTAAATTCATACTCACTTGATGCGCCATTTTCAAATTAAAAAATTCATCTAAAGTTGGGATTGGAGGATTGAATATACTAAGAAAATGGCTTCATCTTCATGAGAGAGAGAGAGAGAGAGAGAGAGAGAGAGAGAGAGAGGGAGGGTTCAAGATCTTGGATGCATGGCATTGGTTTGTCCTTGATTTGTGAAGGCTTCACCACAAAGTGACTACCGAGTGGCTAATGTGAAGTCTTTCACGGAAATTAAGGGGAAACTAACGATTTACGTAATGCTAAACTAGTTATGACTATTGGCTAGTCTAAAGTTACATTGGAAATCGTCGCAATATCTAATATACCAAACATTTGATGATATCAATGACTAGTTCCTGTTTTTGTCGAAAATCATTTTCATTATGAAATCCATTAAAACTTCGATGGCTTGCAATGAATTACACAATAAAAATAAGAAAATTACAATTCCCTAGAAAATAACACAAAAATTGTTTATCAACTCCTATTTTTGTGGGAACTTTGTCTGTGTCGGGGGTGCGTTAGCCCGTGGAATACCGATTCACAAGATTCTGATTGAACCGTGAAGGCTTTTAAATGTTCTTTTTTGTTTATCAAAATAAGAAGCTTAAGCGAATATCTTATCGATGTAAGATGTTCACTCTTCCAAAGATCAAGTCTGAGCTTAGATCTCTAGGAATCACCAAAAGCTTCTTAAAAGTATTTTTGAAAGATGAAGACTCTCTCTCTTACTCAAAATCACCAAAAGCTCAATCCTCTATGTTCTAATTCTGCTCCCTGTCATTGGCCTCGTGTGTAAGGAGGTATTTATAGGGATAGGGGTCCATAACTGTTGAAATAGAATCAAAATAACTGACCAACAACACTCTCTTTGGGCGCGTCAGTCGCCACTGCCGCAACCTTTAGCGCGGCAGTCTACACTGTCGCGGCTGAAGAGGCAGTTTCAGCCACATTTAGCCACGTTTGTAACCGCTCTCCCACGACTTTAAATCCACGAATTGCTATTTTTCTCGGCGTGTAACCATCCCTCCACGTCAGTGCACGTTCTTATTTTGTTATGATGTCACGTGGACCCTTAGAGGATGTCAAAAAAACCGTCATCAAATCACAAGAAGATGCCCCATGAATACGCGCACCACGTTCCACTGCCGCGCCTACGCGCGTCAGTTGTCACTGCCCCACCTACGTGCGTTAGTGGTCACTGTCGCGCCTACGCGCGTCAGCGTACATGGTTATGTGTATTCATATTGTTCTTCTATATTGTTTTCACCTATTTCTTTATTTCTTCTGGCTTTGGATGATCCCCTCTGATTCATTATCGACCATCATCATCTTCTCTTTATCTTGAGCTGTGTTTGGATATCTATAAGTATTTTTTGACGCCTACAGATACCTCCTCCAAAGTATTTCAGACTCATTCTTTTTATAGAGGAGTCTCGGATACTTTGGATAGGACAGGTCTTATTTGTAATCTCTTTAGTACTTAGTTGAGGAGATCGTGTAGAAGGACCTGTGAGACGCTTCAACTCTTGACTTCTTCAACTTTTAGTCTACTTTGTGCTTTGTAAAGTAGCTAAAACTCCTACGGTACTACGTTTATCGGTTGACCATTGTCAAAATCTTGAACTGAAGTTGGTGTTGGACTTGTGAATTTAGCTCCTGTTGCTGAACTGATGTCAAATTGATCATCAATGTATCACTCTTTGTGAAAATATAGTTTATACTAGTACGTTGACTGGAGTCTACATAGTTTAAGCTCTTAAGGTGTTGGAGCATGGTGAACCTGAGTGTTGAGGCTGTAGGACTAATTGTTCAGGTCGGTTCATCTGCAGGTATGGATTTTATCCTGAGTATGTCGGATACTCAAGTCACGAGACCAACTAATAAAGCTGGTGAGTCAGTGACTATCGCATTTATAGGATTTTTGGCAAACCCTCAGCCATTAACGGGTTTGATGAGCCTTTACCGACTACCGTTTGAATCGGGCTAGCATGCAGATTGTTTAAGTCCATTTTGTATGTAACATTGTGCTAAAAATCATTTTTCGAGGTCTCAAAAAAAATGAAATGGACAAATTCCTTTTCTTAGGAACACATACAAGAAAAAATAAACTCTCTTAGACTTGGTGCTATGATGTTGAATACATAGGCTTGATCGTTTTCGTGAGAACGGACCACCCGGCAATGCGTGTTAAGCGTAAACTTATCTCTAATAAGGGATCAAGATAAAGTCCCCCATACATCAAACATGGATTTGGAAATGTTGATAGGTTACATCTTTTTGGTTAAAAGATGAACCTGATACTGGAGAGGAAGAATTTCATATTCTATCTCCTGGTCTCTTTTTTATTGGTAGAGATGAACCCGATACTGGAGAGGAAGAATTTTATATTCTATCTCCTGGTCTCTTTTTTGTTGGTAGAGATGAACACGATATTAGAGAGGAAAAATTTTATATTCTATCTCCTGCTCTTTTTTTTGTTGGTAGAGATGAACCTGATGCCGGAAGGTTTGATTACCTAATATGAAGGTGAATTTCTCATTTATCGAGATGAAATTCCGATTTCGGTCCTAACTATTTAAAGGTTTGACCAGATGGGAATTTTAAAATGATCCTAACTGTTTAAAGGTTTGAACGTTCAATTTGTGGACCTCTCGTTCATGGAAAGAATCGAGAGGAGATTTTGGCTTTGGCCCTAACTGTTTAAAGGTTTGACCAAATAGGGATTTGAGATGATCCTAACTGTTTAAAGATTTGATCGTTTAATTTGTGGACCTCTCGTTCATGGAAGGAATCGAGAGGGGATTTTGACTTTGGTCCTAACTGTTTAAAGGTTTGACCAAATAGGAGTTTGAGACGATCCTAACTATTAAAATGTTTAATCGTTCAATTTGTGGACCTCTTATTCATGGAAGGAATCGAGAGGGGATTTTGGCTTTGGTCCTAACTATTTAAAGGTTTGACCAAATAGGAGAGAGGGGATTTTGGCTTTGGTCCTAACTATTTAAAGGTTTGACCAAATAGGAGTTTGAGACGACCCTAACTGTTAAAAGGTTTGATCGTTCAATTTGTGGACCTCTCGTTCATGGAAGAAATCGAAAGAGGATTTTGGCTTTGGTCCTAACTGTTTAAAGGTTTGACCAAATAGGAGTTTACGGCGATCCTAACTGTTTAAAGGTTTGACCATTCAATTTGTGTACCTCTCATTTATGGAAGGAATCGAGAGGGGATTTTGTCTTTGATCCTAACTGTTTAAAAGTTTGACCAAGCAAACGGAGGGAGTGGAGGTACAAATAACAGTAGGAATATAGATTTGCACAAATCACTCAGAAGAGGTTTTTGGTAACCAGTGACAAGACTTTAACATGAAAAGGGGTTTGCCAATTGTCATGGATTGAAATTTTAGGAGTTGTGTCAAAGCTCAACAGTGAGAGTGTTAAAGGCTCGGACACAGTGGGAGTTTAGGTGGATTTAACCACGAAGCATTTTGGTGGACCCACCATCAGTTAATTTGATCGGTGAGGGATTTTATGGTGGAGGACTGTGAATCATCAAGCACTCCACAATTAGATCGTAGGAGTTTCATGAGGAAAGACTGACCCGATGAAGTCATTGAATCTCATCTCAACGAAAGAGTGCTTGGAAAGTCACAGTGAGAGTTTGCGAAATTAATCCCGACGATTGAAACCAACCAAGAATCGGATGAAGGAAAAGCAAATGGGACATGTTTCATCCTTGAAGGATTTCAGAGTTTCGTTAAGGAAGATTGACTTGATGAAGTCATTGAATCTTATCTCAATGAAAGATTGCTCTGAAAATCACAGTGGGAGGGTTTTAATCTTTTTAGACATGATTAAATAGCCACAACGAGAGGTTCTTAATCATTTTTATCATGATTAAGAGTGGATTATTCAGATGATTGGTTTTCACCTTGAATAATCAATTAGTTTTGGGTTATCCTTAAGAATACCATATATAGCATTCTCCAGAAACTTCCCATTAAATAGGTTACCATGAATGTACTTGGGATAGTACTTTTTCAGGAACTTCTCGTTTGTGAGTAATGTTGTTGTTCTTTATACAGAATCGGGTCTTGGTTCCTGCCTTCGTATTCAGTCATGATAACCTTGTATCCACCCCCAGCTTTTAGGTGAACCTGAGTCTAATCATATTTTGTTACATTATTAGAGCGCGCAATTTAAGGAAGCAGTATTTAACCTCTTATATCAGTCGGAGGTTCGGGAAATAGTTTATACTCGTATACCCTTTGGAGTGCATGGAGAAGTAGTTTATACTCGTATACTCTTCGGAGTTACATGGAGAAGTAGTTTATACTCGTATACTCTTTGGAGTTATATGTCATCCTGTTTGTGGAAAAATTTGCAGTAAAAGAAATAAAAAATTGATTTGTATTCCTTTAATCTCAGTTACAATTGGATTTCCTAATTACAAAAGAGAGGAGAATGAATTTGATTCTCCCCTTTGTTTAATTCTGGGTTCTTCACGGTGGCGATGGAGTGCTTCCTTCGAATGCTCGCGTCAAATTTGCTCTCCGTTGACGATCCGTACGTCTTGATTCACTAGAACGTGGTCTTCTCCTCACGATTTGACGTTGTGGAGGACTTGCAAAGCAAGTTTTAGAACTCTTAATGAGTTGATTGATCTTAACCGTAATTGGTTAGACAAGCCAATGATCTCTTCTTTGCTGCCCAAGAGCAGGATGAAAGATTCCCCCTGAACTAAGCTGATTTCTTAGTTATTTATAGGGGATTAAGGGGTGTAACCACCTATCTTTTGTTTGTGGAAAAATTTGCAGTAAAAAAAATGAAGGAAAATTGATTTGTATTCCTTTAATCTCAGTTACAATTAGATTTTCTGATTACAAAAGAGGGGAGAATGAATTTTATTCTCCCATTTGTTTAATTCTGGGTTCTTCACGGTGGCGATAGAGTGTTTCCTTCGAATGCTCGCGTCAAATTTGCTCTCCGTTGACGATCCGAACGTCTTGATTCACCGGAACGTGATCTTCTCCTCACGATTTGACGTTGTGG